GACGGAGGCGCTGTCAAGCATCTCAAAAGATGAATTTAGACAATGTTTTGAAAAATGGAATAAAAGACTAGACAAGTGTATTAGTATAAGTGGAGAGTACTTTGAAGGGGATTGAAGGTTTGTGCTTAAAATTTGAATAAATAAGTTAAAAAAAATAAGTTCGGTTTCTTTTGGGTACCCCATCGTATATATATTTTATGATGTACTTCTTCGGCTTACTGCTATATCCCGGCTGCTTACTGCTCATCTAAGGAATTGTGTGCACTTATATGAACATGGTACAGACATGGAATTTCAGAAAACACATCATATGATCGCTGTCCAGCCAGTCCATTGATGATCTGGCTGGACCTACAGAAAATATATCACATGATTTGTAAGCACTGTTGTGTGACATCATTGCGAATGCTTAAGCTGCACAGACACAAAGAAAACATTGCTGCTGTATTGTTGGCCATATGTATGTTGCAGGCATTGTCTGGCAATGGATTTACATGTCAATATTTAGAACTGGATATATACCATTCAACTCTCTTAGGCTTTACGTGTGTAATATTACATCTTTGTCTAAATATAAAGCAGAAGTCCTCTGTATGTGTTGTTTATACTATGAATAGAATATTATTTTGCACCATATTCTCTGTATTTTTGAGCATTACAGCACTCTCTATATTATAACTGATTTGATCACTGTGTTGCCAGGCACGAGTATGTAATCATGGTCCAAGACACAACAATAGATGAAGCTGTGTTTTCTATGTTGGCCACTCCAAGCAGCAGTAGGAATGGGGTTCTATGTGACCAGTTGCTAGGTTACACAGCGGTTCTTATAAAAGAACTGTGTTTTCTGTATGGTCCATGCCAGGCAGAAGCTATGTAATCATGGTCCAAGACACAATAGATGAAGCTGTGTTTTCTATGTTGGCCACTCCAAGCAGCAGTAGGAATGGGGTTCTCTGTGACCAGTTGCTAGGTTACACAGCGGTTCTTATAAAAGAACTGTGTTTTCTGTATGGTCCATGCCACAGCTATGTAATGAGAATAACCTAGGGAGGGACAGAATTAGTTCAAGGGCAGTTACAAGTCAGTCATAAACCGGAGGAGTGAATCCAGAAGAATGTTTAGTTCTAAGGTTCCAGAGTGACTGAAGGCAAAATTGAAAGAAAACTTCATGATTTGAAGTGCTAGTTTCTGTGTTGAGTTCCATTGCCAGGAGACAACTAGGGAAGACTGAGAATCCTAGTGCATGTGCAAAGGTGATTGGAAAGTGTGCAAATTAGCGATAGCACTGTATTTAAGTATGATTAAGAGAACTTATAAGCAAGATGCTAATAAATCCAATCATCCCAACTACAACCTGTTATAATCATCACACATACCACTCTACACATGACAAACGTTTTGTCGATGAATTTAAAATACAAAATATTTTAGATGATGGGTTTCATTTTATTTTATTTATTTGTTTATTTATATTTCTTATAAAACCTTAAGACCTCCTGTGTGGTCTAGTGGTCAGAGTTCTTGGCTACAGATCCAGAGGTCCTGGGGTCGATTCCTGGTGCTACCAGATTTTCTGAGAAGTAGTGGGTCTGGAACGGGGTCCACTCAGCCTCATGAGGATAATTGAGGAGCTACTTGAATATTAAAAGTAGCAGCTCCAGTCTAGAAAACCAAGATTAACGGCCATGGGGAACCATTTCACTGACCACATAACACCCTCTATCAGCAAAAGTTGGCACTAACTTCACCGACATGCAGCGGTCACCCAGTCAGTATAATTCTCTTGCGGACTACAGGCCACGGAGTATAAAACCTTGTGTAATGGTTTCAAATTTTATTCAAATTGAAACAAAAAATAGTGTCTGCAAATTGAGATATTTGCATATGTTTATAAAATGTTTTCCACTCTTCCCATTTGCTTCATTAGACCATAGAATTACCGTTAAAGAATACTGGAATAAACAGGATGTGATGTAATGAACTGTAAGAACAGAAATATCACATTTCTAAGGTCTTCAGACACAAAAGTGTTCTGCAGCCCACCCTTGTACTTATACTTGTATGCAAGTGAAAATTTATGTCAGTCATCTCTGCCAATTTAAATGTAAAAGAGAGTGTCTTTGTACTATATCATAGAGTTTTAATCATGTAATAGTAACTGAATAGCGGCTATTGGCTGGTTGGCTGGACACCGCGCCATAGCTCAAGTGGCTAGTCGCTGGTTTCTCACTGCAGCGGCCTGGCTTCGATCCCAGGTCTGGTCAAGTGGGATTTGTGGTGGACAAAGTGGCGCTGGGGCAGGTTTTCTGTGAGTACTTCGGTTTCCCGTGCCAATCTTCATTCCACCAATTGCTCCACAATTACCCTCACCTATCATCTGGGGCTGGTACAATAGGCCAGAAGTGGCCGCAGTACAAGGGACTTAGTCCCACCCCGCTAGCAATAAAAAAATGGGCTGGACAACTGAAGTTCAATTCCTGGCTGGAATTTTTCTCTGTGCCACCATGTTCAGATCAGCACTGGGACCCATCCAGCCCCATGTGAAATGGTTGTCATGAGCTCTGTCGTGAAACAGGACCTCAAGGAGTGTATTCTTGTGACATCACTTTATTATTCAGCGCCCTAACTACAATTCAATGTAACTATAACACAAAATGTTGAGCAAGTCTTTTCACAGTTGCTCCTTTCGTATTAACAACTCTCGCTAGACTGTATAACTGCTCTGTTCTCCATGTGGCTTCCACTGGCTTCTCTCAACACACACTGCCACACTCGGTCCTCAGCTGGCTTCTTATACTGTTGCCTGTTTCCTGTTGCCCTAGGAACAGCAGCAGTGTCCGCTGTTACATCACAGTGGGGAAGTATTTACTGGCCTGTTGCCTAGCAGCTCCCCCAATGTTATGTCACAGCAGGAAAGTGTTGCCTAACACAGCTCCTCTGCTGTTGCGTCACCACAGGGCAACGTTACTGGCAATGTGTGCATTATCACATCACGCTTAGTCCACGATTCCCAACAAGCTCTTTCCTGGTTGGCTCTTGACATCCATTTAGTGCTTAGGTTAAGAATACATAGAGCTATATTTTTACTCCCCCATACCTGTTAATGATCTGGTGCTTAAGCAGAAGTTTCTGTTAACATAGGTTCATCATTATCACCATTATTTAGCTGTCATGGAATTGGGCTAGTTTTTGACCCACTTGAGCGTAATTTGTCCTTCAGTCTCCACGAAGGTCTTCCTTGGTTCTTTTATCTGTATGGTTTGTAATTCTTTGACAGTTTTAAAAATCCGTTTCTTTCCATTATCTTGACATTCCATCCAGTTGGTTATGCATTACAAAATGTTGCCCAATTTGGGCTCAGCTTTTAATTCATTTAATATGTCTTCATTTCTTTCATAGTCCATCCAAGTGTATATCACCATTTGTCTTAGTAATTTAATTTCAACAGCTGTAATTTTGATTTTGTCTTTTCCTTTTATGGTTCAGCATTCTTACCCATATAAAATGGTTGGTAAGGCTAGGGCTGTATCAATTTTCGATCTGGTTTCTTCCTGGACTTATGATGGCTTAAAATTTATGTTAAGGAGACCTGCTACTTTTAAAAATTTAGGAAGTTCAGCTAAAAAGCTGCATGTCTGCCATGAGCTAGACAAAGAGAATCTGAAACTGAATATCTGGTGGGGAGTTACACACTGCAAAGCATATGGTCTTCTTTTCTTTGATAAGGAGACAGTTTGTTGGGGCCTTTATCTGGATGGTGCACCTCCACACTGGTCATCTGAGATGTTGACTTCCTAAACTGAACTTTCAGTGATAACTAGTGTGATCATGAGATACTCATTGACTGACCCCAAAATTCACCCAACCTAATCCCACTAGACTTTTCATTGGGGGTCACATCAAGAACTGTGCATATTCCCAACATGCAACACATACTGATTATTTGAGAGACAGGATTGCTGATGCACCTCAAGAAATGACTCCACAAGTGTTAGGCAGCACTGGCAAAAACTTACTGCATAATATTGTCTGTACCATGATGCCAAGGGGGGCCATGTTGAGGCACAGTGATCTACCTCCACACTCCTATGTATCTTCTGCCTTTGTGTAAAGTTTCATTAAAATATGATTACTTTGGCCTTATAATCATTTACTTCCATGTCGTTTCTAACAGATCACTATGTATATTAAACAAAGTTGGTGATAGTATGTGATAGTCATTATAGTAGAATGCTTAATTAAGCACTGGGACAATTCTACCTTTACCTTAGAATTAACTTAGGAGTTATTTATATTCTACAGGTTGTTTGTGGGACTGAACCAAGTCTTACCCAAATAGTGCAAGCATCTGTATATATAAATATATTTTTCTTTTCAGTTGAAGTACCTAACCCATGCCAGCCTTCACCATGTGGTGCCAATGCTGTGTGTACACAACGTAATGGTGCAGGTGCATGCAGGTGTATTCCAGATTACCAGGGTAACCCTTATGAAGGTTGTCGTCCAGAATGTGTGCTCAGCTCTGATTGTCCCACTAACAGAGCCTGTGTGCGTAATAAATGTGTAGATCCATGTCCTGGTGTGTGTGGGCAGTTTGCTCAGTGCACTGTTATAAACCACATTCCAACATGCACGTGTATACAAGGATATGTGGGCAACCCATTTGCATCATGCACACCTCAACCCTCACCACGTAAGTTACTTTCAGTTTCCTCTCTACTTACTAATGTATGCAGCAACGCAGCTAAGCTGTTAGTACTCATATGTATGACAACACAATACTGAAGTTAAAAGTCTTTTTTAGAGTGTACTATTTCTTCTGGCATGACATCTCAGAAGAGAATCTCAGATCCAGATTTCTTTATGTCTCTCTCCTAAAGCGTGAAATGAATAAAAGATTGTGTAAATATGCCTTTAATTTTTCTGTTAGTAAAAAAAATCACTTGAATTTTGATTAATGTTTTTCATAATTTATCAGCATACTGCATGTTCTTGCAATCCTGTTTAAATGCTCTAAAGGATACAACTTCTTGGAAAATGATCCATTCTGACTCCTGAGGTAGTCTATTCACCTTTGCTATGTTCAGGGTGGCATGTGTTATTAGCACACAGTGTGCTAAGAAATGACTTTGTGACATGTTTGTAGATACAGATGCTACACATATTTTGAAAATTAATCATACTAATCAATTTTGAACTTTTACTTTACCCTTACAGTAATGTCAGAATGTCTTGGAAAGCAACAGACTAGCTCCTGTAATCCATATCCAGATGTATGGAAAATTAAATTTCCAAATCTCATAATTCTAATTGTCAGTAGTAATATGTATTAGCTATTTATTTGTCATAATAAAGTTGTTGAATGATAGGGAAAGGAAATTGGTATAGATTGTATGAAGATTGAGTTAAACACAAGAATGAGGCAAAACCTAGGAATGAGCTGTAAAATTAATGCACTGCATGAGAGCAGGAAATCAGAAGTGATAAGGCTATAATTATGATTAACTGTACATTAATTATGTGGGACTTCAGTTCAGGGAAGGAGAAAGTGGGAAACTTTAGAAGAGTTTTCAGATTTTCATGGCAGTAAAATTTTTTTTGTGGTCTTCTGGGTTACATCATGTGTAGTCCCACAGGTCTCCATCTTCATGGTAGAAGTCTATCCTGAAGATGAAGCAGCAGGTTCAATGAAAATTTATGAACCACCTGCTAGACTCTATGTCATAATAACTCAGAGACTGCAGTGGTGCTTCGTTTTCGCTTTACATACGTAGAAGGACACTGCAGTGTCTCCACTGCTCTGATAGTGTCCACTGTGGCCTCCTTGTTAGTGACTTCTTGATGCTTCCCTACGACCTTTATTTCCTCTGGATTCGCCTCCAAATCCTTGGCCTTCATGTCTTCCAGGGCAATCTTAATTTCGGCTTCCCTTGGTTCATGGCCTGTTTCTATCCTGGCCTTCACCTTCCCTAGGCTAACATTCATCTGAGGATTCATCTTCTTGAAGCCAGCTTTTATCTCCTCTCGGGATTGTCTAATTTCAGCCATCATCTCCTAATGACCGGCTTTCATCCTTAGATTGGCATCCACATTGACTTGGTTGGTTCTTATTTCAGCCTTCATTTCAGCCAGCAGCCATGCCATCATTCGTTCAATCTCCATAGTATGGCGATATAATCTAATGTGATCTTCAGTCCAGTAATTCAATCAAATCGATCACTCACTCCTGGCCCACTTATAGCAACATTTGTCATGTGATAGAGTGACTACAGATGGGATTTGGATTGGTAACCAGATTTATTGGGCTCTTAAGACTTGTGACTACAAGTAACTGTGGCACTGTCGCTAATTCACACACTCTGCAGTTCAATACAGCAAGCACTAAGTCTTTTCTGTCTTTTGGATAACGTCTTCCAACAGTGAACATTCCTCCACTCTCAGGCTCACGTCCTCATAGGCTGGCATCTCCTAGCTCCTTGCTGACTGGCTGGTATCTGTTTCACAAGTAACTACTCAAGTCAAAATCAAAGTCAAAGTTATGTTAAAACCAACAGTCAGTCAGCCAGTCTTTCTTGGTGTCAAGCCCCATCTTGGGCCCGAGACCAAACTTCTGTTACTGTCAGACAGTAGTGGGCTTATTGATATGGGGAGCCCTCTCTGACGAGAGGATGGGACTCTCATTTACAATTGCTGCTGTCCCTCACTATCACAGCCATTCTTGGTCCTGAGTCCCATGGGACTCAGGACCATATTTTACTGTCTCATATTCAACAGACGCCTTTTTTGCAGCTGTGATATTGCGTAGTCATGCAGCAGTTGGGGGAGACCATGCAGAAAACACCGCTTCCAACAGTTCTTCTACTGTTGCTGCACTGACGTAGCATTTTATGTTCCATTGTTGCTTCACTTTTGTGCCATAGCTGACATTTCTTATGGTTAAACTATTCTGGCTTTCAGTGGACATGCACAATATTAATGACTTTTAATTTACAACTTGCGTTTAAGAGTAATATAAAAATATTTAGTTTCAAAGTTTGTGATATAACAGTTCTATTTTCTTACTGCACTGTCTTTCTAACTGTGACCCAGCGTAATGTAATCTCTTATCATTTTGTAATAAAAAATACATTTTTCAGCTCCTACTCCACCAACAGTTGTGAACCCATGCCAGCCAACTCCATGTGGACCTAACAGCAGATGTCGAGCTGTGAATGGGCAAGCTGTGTGTTCATGTGAAGATCAGTACATTGGCTCACCACCAAATTGTCGTCCTGAATGTGTAATCAACAATGACTGCCCTCAGAATCGTGCGTGTAATAAATTCAAGTGTGCAAACCCATGTTCTGGAACATGTGGTGTTGGTGCTCGGTGTGAAGTTATCAACCACAATCCTATCTGCAGCTGTCCATCAGGCTTTACAGGAGATCCTTTCACAAGATGCTACCAAGCACCACCTCCACCTCCACCTCCACCACCAGCACCCAAGCCAGCTGACCCATGTGTACCTTCACCCTGTGGGCCCAATTCAGACTGTCGTCCTGTAGGAGACCAACCTGCCTGTACATGTTTGCAAAACTTCATTGGATCACCACCAAATTGCCGTCCAGAGTGCATTGTCAATACTGACTGTGACCCAACAAAAGCTTGCATTGCCAGCAAGTGTAGAGATCCATGCCCAGGATCATGCGGAGTGAATGCGGAATGTCGTGTTCAGAATCACATTCCAATTTGTACATGCCTGACTGGATATACTGGAGATCCCTTCACTCAGTGCTCTCTCACCAAAGGTAAAATATATCTCTATCCTCTGTGATTAACAAAATATATTTCAACATTTCCATTACATAATCAAACACTTGTGGTTTCTCTTCATATGTTATGAAAGGCAGTATTTTGGTTTTAATATTTTGAAGGAATTGGTTTTTTCTTCTTCACGCATTCAGAGTTGATCAGGGAATATAGGCTTTTAATATTAAATATCAATGTGGAATATTCCTGAGCAGTTCAAAATTCAAACTGTTGACCTATCCACATAAAACTATGAGTATATACATAGTCCATAAAAACAAGAATTGTCCCACAGAATAATATTTATATAGGAAGGCACAATTTTGTCTTCAGATACAGCACAATATTTTAACTTTTCAAAGAAAAAAAACATATTTCTATTTACTGATATTAATTGAACCTATTCTTATAGAAATATCTGCTTTTCAGTCTAGCACATAATTAATAAACAAATTGTTATGGAAGAAGATAACTGAAAACTCCATTTATGTTTAGCATTTAGCACAGATGTACAATTATAAACCAGAAATTCTTTCCGTTGTGATTTACTAAGTGTTCTTTTATGTCACTCACAGTTCAGGAACCATTTGAGACTGATCCATGCAATCCATCACCATGTGGTCCCAATGCACTTTGTAACGCTGGTCAGTGCACATGCCTACCAAACTACTTTGGAGACCCTTATGCCAACTGCCGTCCTGAATGCACAATGAATGCTGAATGTCCATGGAACAGAGCCTGTAATAATCAGCGCTGTATAGACCCATGCCCTGGAACCTGTGGACAGGGTGCTCGTTGCGATGTAGTTAACCATATACCAACCTGCAGCTGCCCAGAAGGCAGTACTGGTGATCCATTTGCTTCATGCAGACCTATACCTCCACCAGTCGGTGAGTAATACTGGTTACTTCTTTAAGTAATTTGTAATAGAATGAAGTGAGTATCCAGTAGCAGAAATCCACAGGTGTTGATATTAGGTTAACAGACAAAAACTACAATAATAAAACATCATTAGTTTTGGCATTTTCAGTATAAAGACTGCCATCTGAGAGGCAATATTAAGTTGGCTTACCACAAAATTAAGATAAATCCAAAGTTAGCTGTGTTTTTACTCTTTCACTGTAAGAACAAAAGGATCAGTTGTGTGTTAACCAATATTATTGTTAATTGCCAGAATTTTGATATTACTTGCATTAGTTCATATTTCCATATGTAACTTTATATATACAATTTCTTATTAAGTTCGTCACAACACAGCAATACAGTGTTCAAGGCTAAATTGTCTTTGCTACATGTTTCGGCTATTCATAGCCATCATCAGGCAAATACATGATAATCATGTTTTCGCACTAGTGAACTGCAGTTATGTAGTAAGTCTGGATACTTGACAATTGACATATTATAAAACACATGGTATAAAAATTACAATGAAATATAAACTTATTATGAAACAAGAGTTATTTCATCAAATAAGGTTAAAACTATTCAAGTGATAATCTATATCATGAAGTCAGTCATTGCAATCTTGTATTTTCCTGCAGGCGTGTTATATTCTAGACTTTAGTATGATAAACTGTTTGGAGGCCCATGAAGTATAGCTTTAACATTAATTGTTTGGTCGGTGCCTCATCATACGATCTCTTTATGTCCGTTTTGTAGGCAGTACAGATTGCAACTCACTAGTACTAGTACTAGTGTTAAAACATGATGATCATGTATTTGCCTGTTGATGGCTATGAATAGCCGAAACATGTAGCAAAGCTAATTTAGCCTTGAACACTGTATTGTTGTGTTGTGACGGACAATAAAAAATTGTATATAATAACACAACAGGATGCATGAAATGAAAATTAACTTTATATATATATATTGTAACGTGTTTTTGCCACTGAAGACGCTGTTCGGCTTGTTAACTAGTTTATTTACAAGCTACAAGTCCAAACTCAATTAATTATAACAATGTTATGGGTTTAAACACTTTACAAACCCTACACACAAATCTCTTCACACTGTCCTCAGTAGTCTACACGTATTCATAGTACGATACGGGTGCTATACAAGTGTCACTGTATTACACACTCCAAATTACTTTCTCAGTTATCACTGATTATCACACGCGTCTGGTGCTTCTTTCCGTGACTGCTGCTATACTCCAACTGTCTTCGTAGGCAGTGTAGTTATCTTATAAACCCTCAGCCGGACAACGGGAAACGCCTTGCTTCCTTGTTGCCTAGTCGCTGTGTTTACAGGTGTTACTGGCAACGCTGTCGGGAGTTGTTTAGGGCTGCATAGCAACCGCGGCATCCCTTGGTCACGTCACCACTGGCGGGGTAGGGGAAGGAGTGTTGACTTTCCTGTTACCCTAGTAACGACAGCTTCGATGCCGCCACGTCACCGCTGGGGATGGAGGGGTTGTCCTCCATAGTGCAACACGTCACAATATATATATTTTTTCACTTCTCAGATATGCACAGTAATTTATAGGAACCCAATTCCAATTTTATCAGCTTTTTGGTCATGGAATTTCCAAGAATGAAATAAATACTTATATAATTTATTATTTGCTTGGTTGAATGGGGTATGTTTCTTCACATTGCATAATTGTTTCATCTACAGCAGTGAAAGGATTAAACCAGACTCACTTAATGTCACTGCATAATACATTTTCATCACCACCAAAATGTGTGACTATGATAAAGAGAGTGTCTCTTACAGTCATGTGTATGAATGACTACTTAAAATGAATAAGACAGTAAATTTAATGCAAGAACAGTCAATATTTGTCATATTTCAATATTAAAAAAGGACCGACAAAAATTTAACTTACAAGCACCATGTTTCTGGATCTTCCTTGAACAGAAAGTAGTTATTCATACCATAAACAACACTGTTTGTTATGGATTCCACACATTTACCATAAACACTCCAGAGCCCTATCCTGAGTGGGTTCAGGGAAAATAATTAGTATTATTTCTAATAGACTGGAGAAAGTGTGTAATAGAGAATAAAGCTGTCCCTGTGCTTAATAAAGCACCATACCTGGAGTTATATATATGGAGGAATGGAAGTATGGCTTCGTGCATTCTTAACCTCAGTACTGAGTGGCAGCTAGTGGTCAGCTTCATGCATCAGCCACTTTACTCCTGGTGGAAGAGACCCCAGTACCCATTAAATAAGAAGGTGAAATTAAATCCCAATTCCTTGATCATCCAGCTAGTTGTTATACCAACAGAGCTGTCTCAGATCTAACTATATATTACAAAAATAAATATTTCTCATGCTGGTAGACAACCCAGTAGGCAGAAATTTACTAATGAAACATGTTTTTTTCTCACAATTTTTTTCTCACAAATTTTATCATTTGATTTATTACATTTTTGCAGTCCCATCACGACCCTGTGAACCATCACCCTGTGGACCAAACAGCTTATGTCGTGTTGTGAACGACCACGCTGTATGCTCATGCCAACCTGGACTAGTTGGGAATCCACCATCTTGTAGGCCAGAGTGTGTGGTTAGTGCAGAATGTCCACTAACACAGGCTTGTCTTGCGAGCAAATGTCGTGATCCCTGTCCAGGCACATGTGGTCAGAATGCTCGTTGTCAAGTTGTCAATCACAATCCCATTTGTAGCTGTGCTGCAGGCAACACTGGAGATCCATTTACAAGATGCTATGCTGTACCAGGTAACAGTCTATATTTAATTTACATATGTGTTTCTACATATATCACCCATTGTCATTTCCACTAGTATAGTCTGTCCTGTGACTTAAGTATTCTTCAATCTTTAGTCTCCTCTTGTTTATTCCTTTGGATGTCTTCCCTCATTTAATATATCCAACTTGTTCATGGCTAAATTATTTAGCATTCCAAAGTATTTTCTTTTCTGCTGTTAGATATAATTAAATATGCATATAGATTCAAAGAGTAAAAAATGTTTAATTGTGTTGTGTTGGTTACAGTGGATAGCAACTCTTTCTACAGAGTTCCCTCATCTATAAATGCCTTATTTATCTGAATCTAAAAGTTTCCTCCATCCTTTCTCTCCAGTTGAGCGTGTCAGAAAGCATAGATTATCATTATTATCATTATCATTTATTATCATTCAACAATCCATGCATACAGGTATTACAACCATTTGGATAAGGAAATTGTCAGTTTTACATCTAATTCTCGTGCATATCTTTACAGTATACAATGTACCACCCTAATATAGGGGGTTTTTCAGCTGAATAATATTATCTAGATCTAGTTACCGTTAATTTCATTGTCTTTACACAAATACAACAGATTAATCAGCTGTGTATTACATTTACACACTTGAAAAATCAAAAGACGTAAATTCATCTACAGAATAAAAGGAATGTTTCAGCAAAAAAGATTTTAATTCATTTTTAAATGAGTTTAAATGAGTTAAATATTCCCTTTGTTTTATTTGATTGGGGACCTTATTATACAAACTAATTCCCATATTTATCACAGTACACAGTTACATATCACATATGTACAGTGCTGTACATGAAAATTTAATTTTCTTCGTGTGTTATAATTATGAATGTCCGAATTTATTGCCATAAAAGCCTTGTATTTTTTGATAAAGCATATTACCTCCAATATATACAGAGAAGGCAATGTAAAAACATTGTAATCTTTAAAAATTTGTCTACATGACATGCGACTAGTAATACCACTAATCACTCGAAGAACCCGCTTTTGCAATTTAAGAATGCTTTTACTTTCCCCATTCCCACCCCACAATAAGATACCATTTCTCATACATGACTCAAAATTAGAAAAATAAATAATTTTTATCATATATGAACTCATTATTTCTTTTAATATTTTCACCATATAAATTACTTTGCATAGGTTTGCTTTTAGAAACTGAGCATGAGCACACCATTTTAGGGTTTCTGTCATGTGAATTCCAAGAAATCTCAGTTCTGACTGATATANACACAAAACTTAATATTACTACTGCTACAAATGAAATTACCAGGCCAGTTGATGAGACTTAACTAATAATGGTTATTTCATGATATTTTGAATATACAAAGCAGATTATCTCCTTCACAATCACCAAGTTGGTTAACTGAAGTAACTAGACATGAAATTTGTCGGCATGCCATCGTTTTTATGATTTTCATTACTCTTTAAAACAACCTTAGTGTTGTCCCTAATGCTCATATAACTTTTGTGATCATTGTTTACATTTAAATCTTCCTAAAAATTATACTTTGTTAAGATCTTTCATGACCTTTTAATTAAAATATTTTGACTCATCCAGATCTTTCTTTTAAATTAAAATACTTGTGATACCTGATTTTGTTTACATGATGAATAACAACTGATGAATACAATAGAATTCATATGAGTTCCAAAGAAATAATTTATCTTTGCAGAGACATGGAAACTCCCTTGACACATTAATGAAACATGCAGCAAGCAAGAAAACAGGCAAACTCTGTCCTACCTTGCATGATGCAGCCACTAAATGGATCTCCAGTGAATCCAGGATTGCAACTACACACTGGTGTATGATTTACAACATTACAACGAGCATTTGCACCACACGATCCCGGACATGGATCACTACACTTCTGATTTACACACGCCAAATTACTTGAACATTCAGGATTAATAGTACACTCAGGTCGACAGTTTGGCGGAGAGCCGATATAGTTTTGTAAACACGAACAGGCGGGGTTTTCCCCTCGAACCTGACACTCTGAATTTGGACCGCACGGTGATGGCTGACATGGATTCTGAGGCACTCCTGCAGTTGGCGTCACTGTAGAGAAGGAGATAGAACAGAACCATTAGTTATCCATAGACACATTAATTTTAAATTTAACATGCAAGAAAAACATTTCTCATATCAGTGTAAATTCTATATACTATGACTCAGCAATAATGTGCTCCACTACAGTACATGGATAAAAAATTACAGATTTATCATGGACACATATATCTGGGTCTCAGTAAGTTACACTATAATACAATATAATACAAAATAAGTATATTATTTCCCTATGTAAGATGATAAAAATGAATCTAAAATGATAGGTTTGAAATCTGGGTGAGAAAGTATACTTTTGGAAAAATTATTTTACCCAAAGAACAATTACAACCTTGATACCAAGGAACAAAGTAGCAGTTCATTTCACTATCTGGATTCAAACTTTCTGTGGTACAAATGATAATGTTTAGATACTGACTTATGCAATACCTGTTCTTAAGGCATAAATGTATGATCTAGTGTGCAAAGTGTGGCAGATATGTTAAATGATTTCTCTGTTGAAATAGTTGATGACCTTTTAAGTCAAAACAACAAAAATAACAAAAACACACAGTGGCAGAAACAAAGGATAAACTGCTACCCTAATACCATATTTTTCCATCCAGTCACCGAATATGAAATAGTGTGTAACGAATAGTTTAAAAGGTAAATTATCTGCCGGATATGATGAGATACCAGAATATCTTGTTAAAGAAATGTATAAATTATGTAAAAAGACCACTGGCTCATATTTTCAATGCCTCATTGAGCTCAGGCACCTTTCCAGATAGATTAAAATTAGCTAAAGTGATTCCTCTGCATAAAAAAGGGGAATATCATGATATTAAAAACTACAGACTGATATCCATTTTATCGGCCTTTTCCAAAATATTAGAAAAATTAATGTATAATAGGCTAATGCCTTTTTTAATTCAAAATAATATGATAAATGATATAAACTCCGTCTCCGTCTCCGTCCCCATCTTCAGGGTTGAAGAAAAAGTATAGGTAACGCAGTCTGCGTTACCGTGTCTCACGGTGTTGTCGCTTGCAGATTTACCTATACTTTTTCTTCAACCCTGAAGATGGGGACGGAGACGGAGACGGAGTTTATATCATTTATCATATTATTTTGAATTAAAAAAGGCATTAGCCTATTATACATTAATTTTTCTAATATTTTGGAAAAGGCCGATAAAATGGATATCAGTCTGTAGTTTTTAATATCATGATATTCCCCTTTTTTATGCAGAGGAATCACTTTAGCTAATTTTAATCTATCTGGAAAGGTGCCTGAGCTCAATGAGGCATTGAAAATATGAGCCAGTGGTCTTTTTACATAATTTATACATTTCTTTAACAAGATATTCTGGTATCTCATCATATCCGGCAGATAATTTACCTTTTAAACTATTCGTTACACACTATTTCATATTCGGTGACTGGATGGAAAAATATGGTATTAGGGTAGCAGTTTATCCTTTGTTTCTGCCACTGTGTGTTTTTGTTATTTTTGTTGTTTTGACTTAAAAGGTCATCAACTATTTCAACAGAGAAATCATTTAACATATCTGCCACACTTTGCACACTAGATCATACATTTATGCCTTAAGAACAGGTATTGCATAAGTCAGTATCTAAACATTATCATTTGTACCACAGAAAGTTTGAATCCAGATAGTGAAATGAACTGCTACTTTGTTCCTTGGTATCAAGGTTGTAATTGTTCTTTGGGTAAAATAATTTTTCCAAAAGTATACTTTCTCACCCAGATTTCAAACCTATCATTTTAGATTCATTTTTATCATCTTACATAGGGAAATAATATACTTATTTTGTTTTATTTTGTATTATAGTGTAACTTACTGAGACCCAGATATATGTGTCCATGATAAATCTGTAATTTTTTATCCATGTACTGTAGTGGAGCACATTATTGCTGAGTCATAGTATATAGAATTTACACTGATATGAGAAATGTTTTTCTTGCATGTTAAATTTAAAATTAATGTGTCTATGGATAACTAATGGTTCTGTTCTATCTCCTTCTCTACAGTGACGCCAACTGCAGGAGTGCCTCAGAATCCATGTCAGCCATCACCGTGCGGTCCAAATTCAGAGTGTCAGGTTCGAGGGGAAAACCCCGCCTGTTCGTGTTTACAAAACTATATCGGCTCTCCGCCAAACTGTCGACCTGAGTGTACTATTAATCCTGAATGTTCAAGTAATTTGGCGTGTGTAAATCAGAAGTGTAGTGATCCATGTCCGGGATCGTGTGGTGCAAATGCTCGTTGTAATGTTGTAAATCATACACCAGTGTGTAGTTGCAATCCTGGATTCACTGGAGATCCATTTAGTGGCTGCATCATGCAAGGTAGGACAGAGTTTGCCTGTTTTCTTGCTTGCTGCATGTTTCATTAATGTGTCAAGGGAGTTTCCATGTCTCTGCAAAGATAAATTATTTCTTTGGAACTCATATGAATTCTATTGTATTCATCAGTTGTTATTCATCATGTAAACAAAATCAGGTATCACAAGTATTTTAATTTAAAAGAAAGATCTGGATGAGTCAAAATATTTTAATTAAAAGGTCATGAAAGATCTTAACAAAGTATAATTTTTAGGAAGATTTAAATGTAAACAATGATCACAAAAGTTATATGAGCATTAGGGACAACACTAAGGTTGTTTTAAAGAGTAATGAAAATCATAAAAACGATGGCATGCCGACAAATTTCATGTCTAGTTACTTCAGTTAACCAACTTGGTGATTGTGAAGGAGATAATCTGCTTTGTATATTCAAAATATCATGAAATAAACATTATTAGTTAAGTCTCATCAACTGGCCTGGTAATTTCATTTGTAGCAGTAGTAATATTAAGTTTTGTGTTATTCAGTTTAATAAATTATTTTCCATGTCCTCAAGCAAATTACTTATATTAAGAAAGAATCTTATTACAGAAACAATAATCTGAAAACAACAATCACCTTATAACATTTTATTTTAAAACATACAATGAATTATAAAATCCATTAACTTAATCTGCATATAAAGATATCTCCCTTCATCCAAAGAATAAACTATACACATATAGCATATTGCATAAGTCTGCAGCAGTGCTTATTCTTTCTGTTTTAGTACCCTTCACAAAATATTAAACTTACACTACCTAAAGGTAAAGGTAAAGTTGTCTCTGTGCTTAACGAATTAAGCACTACGCCATGAAGACATATGGGGGAATCGATGTATACTTATAATTCCTTAACTAATAAATTGTAACAGCATTACAGTCTTTGGTTTCTACTCTTTTAAGATACTAAGATCTGGGTCAGTATCTTAAATTAGGAAAAGCCACTTCCATATTCCTTCAAATTTATTATTCGCTTATTATCCTATCATCATCAGTCACACCAAACTGGTTGGTCTAGGGTTAATGCTCTAGTCTTGTATGTGGGATGTGATCATTTTGAATCTCTGCTGGGACACTGGGCTATCTGGACTGAGGTTTATCATGGTTTTTCTCCATTTGTCCATGCCAGTTCCTGGACAGTACCTCTATCAGGTCATGACTGCTTCCTTCAAAATTCTTTCCATGTCAGTCATCTTGTCTCCTGATGATATATAGTATTGATACTGAAAGTGTCATTAAATAACCCACAAAAAAAAAAGATCAGTCGTCATCATCTGGTATTAGGCTTGTTAGGACCTGTTACATATGTTACAAAACAATCTTGCGTTGTTTTCAGATGTTCTCACAGACTTATTTTTCCTTTTGGTTGATATTTTAATTTCTTTTTTGGAATCCCGTCAACGTTTAGCATCCTCACCCCAATTTATTTTCTAGTCTATCAGTAAGTTGATTTGTGGAATTTGTAATGTTCTCATATTTTCTTCATTTCTTTTAGAGCCCTGTGGTCATATCATTCAACATGATATAACCTTAGCAATTTAAAATGTCATTATATGAGGTACAAATAAAGAAGAGATATAGCGTATTTTATTTCTTTTCACTGAGAATATTGTTCTGCTGAAGTCACAGCATATCAGTATCTAAAGAGCTAAAAAAAAGTGACAATGTTTTGAGCCAAAATTTTTTATGTTGAGAACAGTAAATAATAATTGACCTCCGGGAATGTCCAAACATTGAAAACAAAGTATTTATTACAAACTGCACTTGTAATAATTACTGCTTTATGTCATCTTTTGAAAATAAGACAATATTAAAGTTATTTTAAAATCAACATGCTGAGCTGACTGATATAGCAGTAGTTCTTTGAGACTTGTATTTGACAGGTACTTGGTTCATTGTTGTTTGGGACAGTGACTATCCTGACTGAGACTTTTGTGGTTTTCCTCATTTCCTCCAGGCAGATTCAGGATATTACCTTGATTAGATCACAACCACTTCCACCAAATCCTCTTCAAATCTTCATTTGTCAAGAATCCACCAACCATTTGATGCTGCACAGTCTAGATACTTACAGAATTATAAACTGAACAACAAAAAATGCATGATTTTTTTGCATATTCCTGTATGTTAGATGTTATTCAACACAACATAAATGCTGTGAACAACATGACAGCTCATTTTATATTCTTGTGGTATCTGATTTTTGACATGTGAATGTAAATTATGTTAGAGGTATGAAGAAATATATTGAAATTCTAAATTAAGCTGTTTATTATTTAGTGCTAAAACATGTGTATTTCATAAATTCCTGAAGTACCATATGAAAATTTTGTTAGGAGATTTCAATACCAAAGTAGGTATGGAACACATTTTCAAACCAACAATTGGAAATGAGAGTTTGCATGAAATTAGTAATGATAATGGAGTTAGAGTAGTAAACTTTGCCACATCAAAAAATCTTACTGTCAAAAGTACAATATCCCCGCATTGTAACATCCATAAATTTACTTGGGCATCTCGTGATGAGAAGATACACAATCAGATCGACCATATTTTGATAGACAGGAGACAGCATTCAAGTATATTTGATGTCCAATCATTCAGGGTAGCAGATTGTGATACTAACCACTACCTGTTGGCGGCAAAGGTTAGGGAAAGACTGGCAGTGAACAAACAAACAATGCACAGAGTTCATATGGAGAGGTTCAATCTCAAAAAATTGAATGAGGTTGAGAGTAAAGAGCAGTGTCAGGCTGAAATCTGCAATAGGTTCACGGATTTGGAAAACTTGGCACACTGAGCTGGATGTTAATAAAGCTTGGGTAACTATTACAGAGAATATAAAAATTTCAACCAAGGAGAGTCTAGGTTGTTATGAACTGAAGATGCATAAGCTGTTGTTCGATGAAGGATGCTCAGAATTAGTAGACCAAAGCAAACAAACCAAATTGCAATGGTTACAGGATCCAAGCAAAATAAATGTGGATAATGTGAACAATATAAGACATGAAACCAGCAGGCATTTCGGGAATAAAAAGAGGGAATATCTGAAATACAGAATTGATGAGCTTGCAATGAACAGTAAGAAGAAGAACATTAGAGACCTTTATAGAGGAATAAATGACTTTAAGAGGGGTTACCAACCTATAAGTAACTTAGTGAAAGATGGGAATGGTGATCTGCTTGCAGATTTCCACAACATTTTGAATAGGTGGAGGAACTACTTCTCTCAGTTATTGAATGTACATAGGGTCAGTGATGTTAGGCAGATAGAAATATGTACAGCTGAGCTGTTAGTACCCGATCCTAGCCCTTTTTGAGTTTGAAAGCGCTATTGCAAAATTGAAACGGTATTCATCCAGCAGAACTGATTCATGCAGGAGGTGAAATACGTAGGCCATTTCAGAAATAATGCACACAATTTTTTGTTTATGTCCATGTTTATTTTTTTTATATCTCTTTACCATCCTTCGGTATAGTCCCCCTGCTTCTCAATGACCGAGTCCCAACATGTGGGAAGCTTTACTGTTCCATCCAGGACACCATCTTTGATTATCTGTTGAATGGCTTGGGTAACTGCAGCAGAAAGCTCTTCCAGAGAGGGAAAACGACGGCCTCGTATAGATTGTTTCAACTTTGGGAATAATTCGAAGTCTGGTGGTCTCATGTCCGGGCTGTAGGGAGCATGAGGCAACACCTCCCAATCGTATTGGTGCAGCTTTTCTGTTACAACATTCCCGATGTGCGGGCAAGCGTTGTCATGGAGAAATATTGGCCCAGCTTCGAGCAACTGAGGTCGGTTTCTGTGCATTTTGCTGTGCAGATTTTGCATAAAGTCACGATAATAAACTGCTGTGACACTTTCCCGCACGGAACTCTGTCTGTCATGATGATTCCTTGGTGATCGTAAGCAAAGATCATCATTTGTTTGCCCTTTGATTGAGATTGTCAAAATTTTTTTGGTCGTGGAGAAGATGGACCTCTCCGCTCTAACCCACATTTCATCAATAGCGAAAAGTCAATACAAGAATGCTTGACCTTCAACGTCAAATCTTTGTTTCAGCAAGGTTGCAATTTCGAGGCATTTCTGCTTCTGTTCAGCAGTCAAGCAGTGAGGGCCCCATCACGCAGAAATGTTTCTCTTCTTTAAATCATTTGTCAGAATTCAGAATATTGACATTGGTGGAATCCCCATGGTTTCAGGAAGTTCCTCACATGTCGCACGATGATCTTCAAGAGCATCTGACACAAGTTTCACACTTCGTTTATCTGTTGATGTTTTCGGCCTTCCTGGCCTTGAATCATCGTTTATGCTCACATGACCGCCACGAAAACGACTAGCCCAGCAAGAAACTCTACTACGGTCCACTGTTAACTCGCCACAAACTTCACTTAAAGCACTGTGGATTTCTGTCAGGTTTTTCCACATAAAGTTTCTATCTTAATGTACGACCTTTAATCTTCAACAGTCACAATACCCGAGAACCGTGCAGGCTCCATTTCTAACTCACGTTATTTAAGAACAGAGTATATTATAAATGAAACAAAATAACATGCTTCTTTCTCAAGCCCTGAACTGTAACTGACATGAGGGTCACTGTTGTTGTGTCATCTAATCCGCAGCGTTGCCAGCCCATGCATTATTTATGAAATGACCCACATATTATGGCCTGAGATCCACATCTCTGGAAGACACAGTAAATATGAAATAAATATAAACTCATGTTTATATATATGTTTTATATGGATGTTGCCTGATGTCCTTGTTGCATAAATAGAGACCATTGGTAATCTTTAATTTATATTTATCATGAATGCGTACTACGCGGTAGGGAGTTGATTGAGGCACTATGCTACAAGCTGGAAGGTCACGGATTCAAATCCCGATGAGGTCATTGGAATTTTTTAAATTGACGTAATCCTTCCAGCTGCACTATGGCCCCAGGGTTGACTCAGCCTCTAACAGAAATGAGTACCAGGAATTAATTAAATAATTTTCCTGTGGAGTAAAGTGCGGCCGGCGCGTAAGGCTAACAACCTTACTGCCATCTTTGAGCTGATTGTCTAGATAATGTCGGACCCTCAACGTCTTACAACCCTATGGGCCTCCACGGTCTGTTACAGGGATAGCTTTACTTTTTTTTTTACATACTCTCTGTAAACTTGTATATGGCTTCAAATATTATAATTTATAAGCTCCACCTCTTATTATATATACATGTTGTACATAAAATAACCAAGTATTACAGAATAATAATGTGTTAATGATTTACTAATATAATTATTTATCGCATGCAGACAAAGAATATTAGATCTTTGCAGAGAATTGAAACTGTCTTTCTGTTCATGCTTCCTATTCCAAAGCATGTTGCACGCTGCATCTCCCTGTTCCAGTCTTTATGTTATGTTCTCATGTTTATTGTTATGTGTTTTCTCTGTATGCATATGTGTATGTGCATGTCACTTCAAAGCACGATGCATCATGCATATGAATCTCTCCACAGTCAAGATGCATGAATGGGGACTCATCAGCAAGGTAAGGTAAGGAGTCTCCCAACTTCATCACATCATTCAACATCTCTTCCTGATCATGTTTTATATAGTAAATGGAATTTTGTGTTTCTACTAAAATACAGAAATAGTTGTACACGTTTAGAATATTCATACTGTCTCTTCATCAGTTAATAAGAAGAACCAGTGATATTACTTTCAGGTTATGGGATCAATTCCCACTCAACATAACAATGATTTTTTTCTGTGTGACAATTGTTCGTCACGAACAATACTTTGTACGCAACGCTTTCTTTCCTCTGTACACAACAGTACAGTTTCCTGGTACCTTTTTTCATGAACACAGACTAAAAAATTATATCAATTGGATTACCCGAGATTAGAGTAATGGAAAGTTAAATGAAATACAGTTTGCAATTTAACTTGCAGTTTGTCATATATTCTTTGTGGAAATAACTAAGAATATTACCATAATCCATCATGGCATTTGAATACCAACATCCTTCCTTCTATAAAAATTTCTGCACTACATCACATATTCTTCATTAGTTCATAGCATAAACCTGAAAAGTATATTTCATATTTATACCAGTACCAATTTTATATTATCTTGTCCCTAGTCTGAATCTCAATAAAAATACGTATTATATGAAAAATGTCCAGGTGAAAAGGTAACAATAGAAATGTGGCATGACAAGTAGCATAGAATTTCATTTGTCATTCTACCTCTATCATGATCTACTGCTGATATTACTACTATAGTTTATTATTGCATTGGAAAATACATTGATAAATATCAGTTACCAATCCATATAATTTTCCTTGAAATTTTGTTCACATTGTTTACAAGTTTTGATGAGGTAATTGATTTTGTGGTTCAGGGTATCTATGAAAATATACGTACATACAATGTTTTCTGTTATATAAATGTAGAAATACAAATATGTATCTATATGGAACATGATCAGAGGGAGAAAGAAGATATTCAGTGCATCGGCAAGATTGTTCTCACTTTGGTTGTGTTTTTCTTTGTGTTGTTGAATAGGATCTTGCACTTAGAGAAAAAAATACATTTAAGGATAATGGCGAATTTTAGAGGATATTCTTGGATATTATTTGAAACTTTTTCTGAAATAGACTAGCATTCATATGACTGTTACAAACAAGGGATTGAAACTTGTCACATAAAATTTGTGTGTCTCACTTAAGAATGTTTGTAAGAAATTGTCTGACTTTGGACTGACAGAGAAGTCACAGTGGTTAATACACAGTTATATGATTGCCACTCTATATACACCTTTAGAGCAATAAAGCTGGACTCAAAAATCTAGTAGGAAATCTGTCATGTAAGAGCCTCTCTATATCTGATGATGAGCTATCTGTCGGATTGGGATAGTTCATTCATCTAGTTAGTTGAGGGTACTGAAGACCAGATCTTCCTACTTTGTTTTTCAGTTTATACAGCTTCTAACAAAATGTGTGGAACTCAACATGTGATATTTTTAGTTACAATTTTATGAGAACATGTCTCTGAACATTTATCCTTCATGAATGTTTATGGGTTTAAATAAGATGCAGTGCTTTCAATATATGTTAAAGATATAAGAAGATGTATCATGAGGTCTTTAGAAAATGTACAAAAATATAGTCAGCCCCATCAGCTTCTAACCACTAATGCTTTCCTCTGTGCTTCTGTAGCTAACACTTTGAAAAACTCACTTAGTTTTATGTATTCTTATAGTTTTTTCATACTTGTCTCTTACTATATAAACTGCTCCCTTTCAGCAGAGCCGATTCCCCAGGAAAGACCAACCCCATGCATGCCATCCCCTTGTGGATCAAATGCTGTCTGTAGAGAACAGAATGGAGCAGGCTCTTGTACCTGCCTTCCTGACTATATGGGTAACCCATATGAAGGTTGTCGTCCAGAATGTGTTCTGAACTCTGACTGCCCCTCCGATCGTGCCTGTATTCGCAGCAAGTGTCAGGATCCTTGTCCAGGCACTTGTGGCTCAAACGGAGATTGCCAGGTGGTGAACCACTTACCATCTTGCACTTGCCGTCCTGGATACACTGGAGATCCGTTTAGGTCTTGTAGACCACAGCTTGTACAGTGTAAGAAATGTGAAGATGCTTCAACTTGTTTTTCATTTCTCTCTATGTTCCTCTTGCAAATATGTAATTTTTATTTTTACACAGTTAATACTAAATACTTGAATTTCTGATCTTTGTGAAATTTCAACATTTATATCTTTTATATGTGTTAATATTCATTTTCTTTCCAATCTCATTTTAAGTGTAAATTCTAGTCTATCTATATGGAATGTAAAATAAGCATGATCTTATTTTCTTGAATGTCTGAGTATGTGAAGTAGTTGGACAGACTTTGCATGAGAGGTTATTGTGAATGTAAACAAGAATGTGTCTTTCTTAATGGAAGAAAAATATATTGTGTGTGTTTTGCAAATTCATAATTAAGCTTATATTTTTTCAAACTCATGCAACTTCCAATCACTTCAATGTTCATCTTTGGCACTGAAGTTTCTTCTCAAAGTAGATTACAAACAAAACATATCCAATTGTACATTATCAACCACTGACTGTATTGGATGTCTGCATAACCCATCTCAAGTAATGTGGACCTGTACATAATATACAAACCAATTGCCACCTGTACAGAGAATCACACGTATCCTATGTTGTATTAGTCTAATGCAGTACCATTTAACCATCAGGTAACTCTCTTTTGATTTCAGTTTGTAACTCATTAAATTAGTCCCCCTATTTCTGATAAAGCTTTTACATTTTACATTTGTGTCCTACAGATTCAGGGGCACGTGATAGCATGTTTGGTTGAAGTACGGTGCTACAAGCTCTAAGATGTATTGATTGTCATTGTGTGACCACTTCTACATATCAGTAGTTGAAAGAGTTAAATACATTGATAAACACATGTGCCACACCAGACATGTGTTTGTTTCTCTTTAAGTTGTAAATTCGGTTTCTTCAGTTACTGATATATATTAGTAACTTTTGCATTCAGAATGCATTTGTATGCCATGTTATAACGTACAGTGAATGCAGCTTTTATATCATATTTAAGGGTAACATACAGGATTGTAAAGAATTGTTCATCATGGGTTCAGATGGTGGTGCACTGGTTTAGCAAGCCAAATAATGTATCTTATTTCCAAACCAGCAACTTTACCCAGTTATAAGTAATTGTGTGTTCTTGGTGGCCATTAATTATTTATATGAATTATTAGGTTTGCATGCAGAATAAAGACCAAACAGTGATCTTTAATAATTTGTCTGTATTATACACTGAATTAAATTGGGTGTCAATCAGATGACAGATGAATTTTCAGACAGAAGTGTTACCTGATTGGAGATCTTGTAACAGTATTTCTTATAACCTAACTGTTGCAGGTTTGATTCCAATCATGGAAGGCAGTTAGCCAATGAATTACAAACAAGTATACTCATATGCCATAGAACATGTACTACTAATATAAGGAATTTGAAAATTTGAAAAAGTATCCATTATTTCCCCAGGAATTTATTGCATCCTCATCAGTATCACAGTATATAAAAGTAGTAGCTTAAACTTCAAAGAGGTAAAATAACATTTTAAGTCATCATATGAATATAATTTGTTTTCTTATGCTACTTAGATATCCATAAAATCCTGACACATTTCGGTCATACTAACAACTTAAAACATGATATCTATGTTTTATATGCAAACAGTGTAAAACAGTGAGCATAAGGTAGTAATGCACAATATATTAACTATAAAATGTTATCTTCTGGTATTTTTCCCAATAGGCTAACGTACGCTGAGATTAAGCCTTTGTTTAAGGGTGGTCATAAAAATGATCTTACTAATTATAGACTGATTTCCCTTTTAACTTCCTTTTCAGAAATTTTCGAGAGGATTATATTATCCAGGCTGAATCAGCATGTCTATGACCATAATATAGTTAATGAACAATTTGGTTTTAGACCTCAATCTTCCTGTGTATTAATTAATTAAATATTAGAAGCATTAAATAAGCAATATACCATAGGTGGTATTTTCTGCAACTTAAAAGAGACTTTTGATAGTGTTAATCATCAGATTTTATTGAACAAACTTCAATTTTATGGAATAGATGGTAAATTTCATGATTTAATTACATCCTATTTATCTGATAGATATCAGAGAGTTTTAATAACAAGCACCAACTTGAGTTATGCTGGTACCTCTAGTTGGGATATTGTAAGGCATGGTGTCCCACAGGGGTCCATTCTTGGTCCACTTCTTTTTCTCTTCTATATAAATGATCTACCTAAAATTTTTAATAACTCAGTCAGATCAGTTTTGTTTGTGGATCATACAAGTTTAGTTATTAATAGTTATAATAATATACAATACAGAAATTATGTTGATATTTCCTTTGCTTATCTTAATGATTGGTTTAATTCAAACTTTATTAACTCTAAATTTTAACAAAACTAAACATGTTCAGTTTATGACAAAGTCAAGTTGTAATAGCATAACTTCTGTTAATTATCATAATAATGTGATTTTAAGTAGTATAAATGTGAAATTTTTGGGATTAACTTTTGAAACCTCATATATCCCAACTCATGCCTAAATTGTCCAAGGCTTCTTACTCAGTGAAGGTGATCAAGCCCATTATGCCCACAGAGACATTAAGAATGGTATATTACTCTTATTTCCATTACTTTTGTCCTATGGAATTATTTTTTTGGGCAATCCTTCTTATAGTATGCACATTTTCAGAATTCAGAAGAGAATAATTAGAACCATAAGTGGGTTGATATCTAGGGACTCTTGTAGGGATGCATTTAGGGACTGGAGAATTTTGCAATTGCAGTCCAAATATATATTTTCTTTATTGATGTTTGTTGCGAATAATATGGGTTTATATCACACGACATCACAAATTCATGGACTTAATACTAGGTGTAATTTTGATCTTTATCACCCTCAGACAAATTTGACAACTTACCAGAGAGGACCTTATTATTTTGGCATTAAACTCTTTAATCATCTTCCTTTAAATATAAAAGAGTTAATCCATAATATTAAGCAATTTAGAGCAGCTTTAAGTGCTTTTTTTACATACTAAATCTTATTACACTTTAGATGAATATTTTAATTAGGGATAGTTTCATGTTTAGCTATGACCCATTATTTTATCTATTGTCATGTATAGGTTCCAATTTTGCATTATATTTTATATACACATGGTAGGTTATGTAGTTGCAGTGATGTGTAGGGGATTCATATGCTCGATTTATTGTTTTGGATTTATATGCAGTGTTCTGTTGACTACTTGCTGATTTAGCAAGCTTGTGGTGTGACAGGTTCTGTATCCACTGGCTTCGGCCTTGTAGGGATGTGCTGGAACATGTAATAAATACAATACAATACAATACATTACAATATAATACAACAAACAGATTATGAAGAAAGTTGAATTTAATGCCAATTCACATCGGTAAGCTTTAATATAATACTACCTAAAGTTATTGCAAGAATTGATCATTTTGGTATCTTAAATCTTTTTTCATACATAACAGATTCTAAAGTTTTCTTTAATATCTGGTATCCTCCATGAATATGATAATTTGTGAGCAATATGTTTGAGTCTTAGTGGTATTAGTCAGCATAAGAAAATAAGTTAGATGTACTCATATGGTGATATCACATCTTATTTTAACATAAAACTATATCAGCAAAATGAACCATATCATACTTTGAAGGAGGAATAGGTACTTCTCTGGTTATCATACGTGTATATTTGGTTCCATTATAAAAACACTAAACAAATAAACAGTTCCCTATCTCTGACATTGGAACTGCAATGAATAATCATTTTATTGCACCTTATTTTAAAATGCTTTAACCATTGGCCTAGACACTTGGCACTTAAATTGGTAACACACAGTGATTAGTTCACCCATGCACATGTTTTTGGCAAAGAAAGAGTTACAGCATATTATGAAGAAGTGAAAAATTCTGATCTGAAATTCTTCTGTAGGACAGTGTTTAGGGTGTGTAATAAATTCCATGTAAACACGTGGTATCTATGAACTGCTTTCTTTATTAAGGAAGATAATATTGAACAAATATCGTTTACAATGAAATGTTTTTCATCACAAGATTTAGACCTAAAGATGATAAATTGAAGTTTACTCATATAATTAAAAAAAAAGAAAATAAGGAGGATGTTTAAATCACATACAGAAACTGTAATGGTATCTTTCCACATCATCTTAGTAGCCTTAGTTATTGTACATTATTGTACATACTGGCACCAATACACAGTTACTTTCATAATATAATATCTTTTGGTGTTCTCTGTTCAGTCTGCAGTAGGAAACTGACAGAATACCAACAGAAAAGTTAGAATTATATATATATATATATATTAAAGTTTAAAAATTTAAAGTTTCTAAAAAAGGGCATTCTTGCCTACTGAATAAGTTCGTGATATAAAAGTTTATGAAAGTATAGCAATTTACTTCATTTACAGAAATATTTAATGCAAGCATGAGTACAAATGGCAGTATGCTGGGCACAAATCTTGGTGCCACTTCCATGACACATGACATTTTCCGTTTATCCATCACAACACAACTCTCAAAATCTTGTTCACATTAACTGTGTGTAATGAGTTTGTTGATTTCATTGGTATCTTGCTACATGTTTCAGCTTATGAAGAACCATCATCAGGCAGTCATACACTAATAACTTATTCTTGAACTATTAAATTGCATTCTGTATGGATATATATTTCACAGTATTACAGTTGTTACTAATGCATCAGATTTTCAGCATTTTGTCAAAATTAAAGCCACTACTGCTCCTATATATCCATTCAGCCATAATAAAAACTTTATGTTAATTGATGTTTACAGATGTTCATACAATAATATAAAACATAAATAATATAATAATAAATTACAAAGGTTTAAAATTATAAAACCCTTAGATGCTGGGTTAAAATATTATTACGCCATGTTTAGACGTCTCACGTATTGTTACATATTAATGTTTAGTTTAACATTGCAATCATGATGTTATATTATGTGGTAATTTATGGACATTGTTTTGGTTATGATTTAGTTCTTATTTTCGTTTAAATCTTTCCATGAAGCGGTTGTGTTGTTTGGATTATGTCGGTGT